AAGGAAGGAAGGAAGGAAGGAAGGAAGGAAGGAAGGAAGGAAGGAAGGAAGGAAGGAAGGAAAAGAAATAAAAGAAAAAGAGCGAGCTTCACATTGATGAGTGAGAATGGAAGAGACCAACATTGCTGCTCACAGCATCTTAGACCCTAACCCCAATAGCTCAGCTTCCTATCCCATCAAGTACCAGCCTCAGGCTGTCTCAGCATCTTTGCAGCTTCTCCGCATCTGACTGAAGGCCAAGCTGCTGGGTAGAGCTCCATATGCTCAGTCTCTCCACACTCCGTCCCTCTGCAGAGACCTCTAAAGTATCTCCACTGAGCAGTTTCAAGAACAGTTTGAAACCTCTGGATTAGATTCACTGATTATTCAACAAATATTTTTTGAGAGCCTGTACTGTTCCCAGCACCCTTGGGAGGCAAGAACTCAGAGGATACGCTTGCTCTGAGATCACATGAACCTGCAGCACACTTCCTGTTAAATACAAGCTGCATTGCCAGCATCAATGCTTCAAACAACAGAACATAAATGCTGTTGCTTTTTATTCTAAAAATCCAAGGAAGGCAGTGGTTGTTAACCTGAGTTGAGGAAACCAAAGAAAAGAATCTGGCAAGCATCTACGCTTTGGGGCCACAGAGAACCGATAAGGCCAATGGATTACTTTTTGGTATAACTAAAAGTAGTTAAAAGAGAGAGAGGCCGGGCGCGGTGGCTCAAGCCTGTAATCCCAGCACTTTGGGAGGCCGAGGCGGGTGGATCACGAGGTCAAGAGATCGAGACCATCCTGGTCTACGTGGTGAAACCCCGTCTCTACTAAAAATACAAAACATTAGCTGGGCATGGTGGCGCGTGCCTGTAATCCCAGCTACTCAGGAGGCTGAGGCAGGAGAATTGCCTGAACCCAGGAGGCGGAGGTTGCAGTGAGCCGAGATCGCGCCATTGCACTCCAGCCTGGTGAAAAAAGGTAAAACCCCTTCCTCAGAACCCCCGTCTCAAAAAAAAAAAAAAGAGAGAGAATGAAGCTGGAGCGACTGTTTTGTTTGTTTTTGTTTGTTTGTTTTGTAAATAAAACTACTCATAGATAAAAAGTATTTAATGCAGCCAATTTTATGGGGATAGGTTTTTTTTAGCTCTCTCAGTCAGAATAACCAATTTAGAAGCTTAAATTATATTGTTAAACATATAATAGATAAATACTTTTAAAGCTAACATAACTCTGTAAAGGTTTTTTTCCCGTAACATTGGCATAGAAAGAAGAGTGAATTGGAGTTTTGTAGTAATACTGAGCAACAGATTTCAGTGTTTTTAGAATCTTCTAAAAATTGAACACGAAGAAAAGACCTTTAAAAATGGCTTAGGAGGGCGCTACCCTTTACCATTCATATGACCTTGGTCAAGTTATTCCCCTTCTCTAAGCTTTAATCACATATCCATAATTTGGGGGTAATAATACTGATTTCCCTAGGCTCGTGAAAATGAAACGAGACAATGTCTGAAAAAAGCATAACACTGTGCAGAACACACTGCAGCTGCTCAATAAAGACTTTTTATTAAAAAAAAAAAGTGCTTAGGGTTTTTTTCATGCTACTATAAAATACAAGACCCAGTGCATCCTCTATAAGTATTCCTACCCTCCATACGTGCATATCACTTACGTTTCATTAAGGATGATATTTCAATTTTGGAAAGTTTTAACTGATCATTATTTGAACATTATTTTGATTTTGTGGGGTTTGTTTTTATTCTTACATTGTAGATTCCATGTGTTAATATTTGAACATTTTGTTCTGTGCTCCAGATATCCTAATTAAAACTCAGAATTATTTTCCTAATTCAGGGGAATAAGAGAATCTGCCAGTCTTGGGATTTCAGCAAATTTCTAAAACTCACTGAAATTGTTTCCTAGGGATAAGAGTGCCTAGCTTACAGAGTTTTTATGATGACTATGCAAGAATTCAATAAGTGCGAATGTCTTTCTTTTTCATTTCAAGGGTTCCCTGCTGGTCAAGCTACTAATAAAAGTCCAACCTGTGCCTGCTGACTTCCTAAGCTATCCTAGTGGCTGGGCCTTGTCAGGCTTGCTGTGCTGGATTGCTCCCAGGCCTTGGATCCCAGAGGGATACTTACTAAACGTGTCTGGAGACTGGTCACCTTTATACTGTTGCAATGCAACCACATA